TGTTTCAAAAAAAAAAAATAACCATTAAAAGCTGTTAATGAAAAGTCTTCTTCCCACCTGTCTCTCATCTGCCAGTTCCCATCTCTAAGCCTTGCAGCCCCAGGTAACCATTCGTACAGTTTATTTTCACTGCAACCAAGGCTACTACTTTAGCAGCCACGTCCGTCAGAATGTTGGCTATGCGGGTTGGGCCACATAGGGTAGAACTTGGTGCAGTTGGCTGCGTGTAAGAGAAAACAAACAAGACTTCATGAAGACAGAAGTTTGTTAGAACTTGCTAGAACTTTACCTCATGAATATGTAAGAGGGTGCTATAGGGGAAGGAAACCATTCTACTTAAACTGTGATGTGGTGCTTATTATGGACTGAGTGTGTCACCTCAAAATACACATGTTGAAGCCCTAACCTCCAATGTCATGGTATTTGGAGGTGTGGCCTTTGGGAGGCAATTAGGTTTAAGTGAAGTCATAAAGGTGGAGCCCCATGACGATATTCGCATCCTTATGTCATGTGAAGACATGGCTGCACAGAAGGCAACTGTCTGCAAGCCAGGAAGAGAGCCCTCACCAAGAACCTAGCCTAGCCGATACTCTAGTCTTATGCTTCCAGCCTCCAGAACTGAGAAACAAATAGCTGTTGGTTAAGCCACTATGTCCATGGCATTTTGTGATGGCAGCCCGAGCTGACTATGTGCTGGAGGACCAAAAATTGAGCTATAAGAAAATGGAAAAGATTTTCAGTTCTCTTACATATACCTCTTAACTACTTTGCTGAGAGTACCCCAATGCGCTGTTTGAAAGTGTGGATTCACACTGGTCTGGAGGAAGGGTCTGTGGGCTAGAAAAGCAGGATGACCACAGGACTATGAAGTGCTTGAAGCCAGCGACTAGTTGAGTGACATAAGTGGGTGATAAACTTCGACTGCTCATCTCAAACTGCACTCACAGTCTGACACTTGCTAAACTCTAATCTGGAAGGACCTTAAGCGGGGAATGGAAAAGGTTTACAAACTTTTAAGTGCAGTGTTAGATGCTAGGTGTTGGCTGCCTAATCTAACATCTGTGGGGTACAGGGTATCTCCATCTGGATTATTTCACCCCTCCCACCCAAGTTGTTTGGTTCAATTCGAAGATAATGCTGCCCTCTCCTGGACTGATCTTGCAACTACAACTCCTGGTCACCAGGAGTAGACTCTTTTTTTCTCTTTTGCTTGTTTCTAGGTGTAGGCTGGGGTCTCATGCTCTAAGTAATTTCTTACAGCCATGGTGAAGTCAACTTCCCCTCCAGTTTTATTTCCCAGAGGCCGGAGGTGATATAAACAGAAGGCAAGTCACTTGTGGGTCTCCTAGTCTCTAGCGGTATAATCCATCTTTTTTCAACAATTTTTTTATTGCACCCTAAATGCTAAAATGCCTTCTAGGTGCATGAGATACAGTGATTGAAAGAAGCATAGTGTTTCTTTTTACATATCGACTATAATTTGTATAAAGTTTTTTTTGAAGGACATTGAAATTATGACCAAATTTTATTATTATGAACAATCCTGTGATAAACTTTGTCCTTCCTCCCCTCCTTCCTTCTACATTGCTTCCCTCCCTCACATTAAGTGGGATTGCAGGGTGGAGGTAGGCATTGTTCAGTGTGTTTGGTACCTAATCCTTCAACAGGTCTGTGGGCGATATGTAAAGACAGCTAAAAGTGATTCAACATTTATTATCTGCGAGACACTGTGCTGAGCACTTTACATGTGTTAACTCGTTGATCCTCATACCAGTCCTATGAGTGGGTTCTACTTTCATTCTTATTTTACAGATGAGAAAACTGAGGTCCAGAGCGAGTATCTAAGCTCCCCATGGGCGCACAACTGGCCAGGGACAGAGCTGGTTTGGTTGTAGAGCCTATGCTCTTATCCAATTCCATCATCGTGACAACTCCACGAGGCCAGCTTTATTATCCCCGTGTCTATGGATAGGATATTTTGATACATGATAATGAACTTGTCCAAGATCACAAAATAATAAAGGAGGGCCAGCATTTGAATAATTGTGTGTCTGACTCCAAAGCAGAGATTTCTGGGTCCTTCAAGAGAATTTCTGAATTCATTCGGGAGAAGGCACTGAGATGGGTTCTCACGTGCTCGTTTTTCAAGGTTTCTCTCTGGCTTCCACCAGAGCTTGGCGATCAGGGCTTAGAGGTCTGCACCTGCCCAGGTCATACCTCTGTTAGGTCCTGCTGTTATCCTGACCATCACAACCTGGACTGTGTGACACAATGATATCCCTCCCCTCTCATCCTCGATCACTTTTGGTTTCCAGAAATCTCTCAGGCACAGTTTGGATTGCAGGTAACAATAAAGAGAATTTATTGGCTCGTGTAGCAGAAGAGTACAGAGAGATGACCTCTGGGCACGGTTTGTCATTACTCTGGCTCCCTTTCTCTGTGATTCTCTCAGCTCTGCCTTCTTTCATGTGTTAGTTTTTGTCTTTGAATCGATTTGCCATTTATGGTAGCAAAATAGTGTCCAGCAACCACAAGACTCCATACTTGCTTTTCCACTGTCGTCAAACAACCATCCTGAACTTGGCTCTGAGTGGATCATCTTAGGTCACATACTTGCCTTTGAACCTGTCATTCTGGCAGGGGGATGATCCCTGGGGAGAGGGGTGAATCCTCTCCTCACCCTCCCTTGCCTCTACTTTGGTCCCCAGATTTAAGTGGATTCTTCTCCAACATGTGAAGAGGTACTGATGCAGTATCAAAGCTGACACAGGGAAAAAATGGATATACTTACAGCCATACTGTGCTGTTCACATGGTCTTGCATAGAAGCTGCCATTTTTAAAACAATGGCAAGAAGAAGCCTCCGCATTTTGCCAGCAGATTGACATTCAGGCTGCACATGTCACAACAATCTCTGTGGCACTGCATGTTCTGCACAGAATGGAAAATGCTTTCCTATTGGGAACATTATGAGGGAACAGTTATAAGTGGGAAGTGAGGTATGGAAGATATGTTGGGTGGGCAGACTTGCTGGTATATTTTCAAAGAGGTAAAATTTTATTCCATGCTCGTGTATATGTGCCTTTCCCCGCTCAGTGAAATGCTATTTTGTACCATGAAGGGAAATATTCCTTTCAACTCTTGACCTCCAGACTGTCTTACCACTGGAGACCTAAGTTACCATTGTTGCCACCCCTATGGCTCCTCCAGAGGGGCTGGTCCCCTCTACTCCTTGGGCTCGAGGATGGGCCAGACACTTCCCTAATACCTTAGTCATTAGTCTAAATAGACTGGAATGCTGAACTGACTGAGGGCTTAGGAAAAGCAGAAGGGAACTACACACAAGAGGAGCTTAAAAATAGATAGTAGATTTGGCGGCTCTTGCCCTTGTATTTCTCAGTTGGTCCCTTGCAAGGACTTCCTGTCCAGTGACTGCTGCCTCCTTGTGGCAAACACTCTC